TTCTTGTGCCAATTTTTAAAGGTTATTTTTTCAAGGAATTTATTTCCTCTAGTTGTTAACTTTATTAGCATAAAATCGTTTATATTATTCCCATTTTTAACCTTTTGAGTTTCGTAGATTCTGTATTGATTGATGTTCCCTTTTTCATACATAGTATTGATTATTTGAATTTTCCTTCTTGACGAGTATTACTTAGAAATATATCAATTTTATAAGTTTTCAAAGCACCAACTTTTGGCTTTATTAATTTTCTTTCATGTTAGTACCTGTTGTTTATGTCATTGATTTTTGTTTTTTGTTTCTTTTATCCTACTCTTTGTATTTAATTTGCTGTTCTTCTGTCTTCTTTATGGCAGAAATTAGGATAATTTATTGTAAACATTTCTTGTTTTCTAATATGCATTTAAAACTATAAATTTTCCTCTAAGTATGGAAATGTTCCTCTAAGTATGTAGCTTTCGCTGCATCCCAGAGGTTTTATATTGTTTTTATTATCATTCAGTTTTATTCTTTTGGGGTATAAGAACCTGAAAATATAATCTAGTTTCAGAGCGAAAAAAAAGGAAAAAGGTAGTTTCGGTTGAAAACTATTGTAAATATTTTAGTCCAAATCAGTTTATAATCAAATTCTACTCTCAGCACATATAATTTTACCTTTATTGCCAGTCATTTTTATGCAATAAATTTCCGTGTGTATAATTCATAGAAAGTATGTTTAAGATATACCGTACAGGAAGGACATACTTATTTAGTGGTTCCTCTTTAATAATCATATTAATTTGAGTTATAGGAAAGTATAATTGGCAAGGTAAAAAGTCATTTATTGTAGTTAGTGATATACAATAATTGTCAATGTAATTATAAGTATACTTCCAATATTATAGTTAACATAAAAGTTTGTTATTTTTTTATAGTCACCTCTCTATCTGACATTGCTTATATAGTCATTTCCTTGGTCACTGTATTCATGAACCATAAATATTTATGATCTATATTTTTTCTCATGAAAAAATCTGTTAGACTTTTTCCTTGTATCGGTGAGACTGCTAAATTTGTATGTATGTTAGGACACTTTAAAGTGCAGTGATTTCCAGAGTATTGGAATGTCTGAAATAAATGTAAAATTTGGATCTGTCATTTTTTAATCAAAAATTAGTATGTATATTGTTTCTCTGCCTCATCCTATTCCTTTTTAAAGATATTTATTTAAAGTCCAACCTTAGAAAGTTGAACCATTTATTTACAATTAGTATTATTTTTAATGGATCTTGATGAGGTTTATTTTGTTAAGTAAAATAGTTTAATTTTGAATAGGTTTCTTTCCATTAATCACAAAAATGTTGACATTTGTCTTTCATTAGTCCCTATTTCTGATAGCAAAAGTATTGATAAAGTTAAATTGATATTTATGAAGTTACTTGATAAACATGGGTATCTTTAAGGACAACTAATGGAAATTGAATTTGAATCTAGAATAATTCTTATTTCTATACTCAATATGATCTTTCTCCTTATTTTTGTATCTCCTAAACTTCAAATTCTCATTTGCAGCATCTAGCCTAGCTATAGTTCACAGACATGTGTAGGCTCGCTCTTTCTTATCCCAACTCGAGATCTATGCAGGCCATCAAATTTTAGATTGTCCTCATTTATATCATTTGCTTCATTATGTGCCATATTTTTCAAGGTGATAACATACTAATAACATTGTATATTAAATACTTATTATATATATTAAGGCACATGCCATAGATTATATGATTGTCTCTTCATCCAAAATAACAATCCTTCACTCCATCACAAAGGAAAACAACCTGTCTACATTCTTATTTTCTCTTTCTCTAATAAACTTGTAAAAAATCATCTTCTTTTGATGTCTGCTTTAAAAAGCTCTACATGCAGTGTGACTCCACACAAGTTTATTAAAACTGCTACTTTCAAAGATGATTCTTGTCCTCAAACACAGTTGTCATTTTTCAGAATCTATCTTAACATCTCACATTCTTCATTCTTTTTTTTTTTTTTATTACATTATTTTTCATTGGCACTCTGTCACAATCATATTTTGGCTTCCCTCTTTTCTTACCACTCCTTTCTCTCTCTCTTTTAATGTTCCATTTCTTCTTTGTAAGTTTCCCAAGGAATTATCTTCATCATTTTCCTGGGGTGTTATTGTCAGTGATATTACAATGAACCTTAAACTCTCACCTCCGTGCAGTGAATTCTCTTTATTTCCTTGGAAATATGACTTATTTCGTTTCTCCCTTCTGTTTTGCAACCTTCACACATTTACTTCTGAACATCCTATCAGCATATGAATCTTTACATATCTAAATATATTTCCCTTTCTTGTACCAATTTCTGGTTTTTACTGTCCTTATATTTAGTTGATGATTCTTACCATTCATGTTCTAAAAACTTTTGGTGCCTTTTCATTTTTTTCTCTGTTTCCCATCTGCTTTTTACTGCTACAGTTACCTGTGCCATCTCTTCTTCCTGGATGTTTTGAGGAACTTCTAACCTGCTCATTTCTACCTGTCTTAACCATATTTGCTAAGATAGGTCTTCCTAAAGCTCAAGAAAAGTTATCGTATTGCTTGAACACCTATATCCAGTTGTTTATTTTCATCACCTGCTAAATAAAATGTCTCCTTTAGTTTGACATTCAGTGCTAAGTACTCTAGCCTTAAAGAGTTTTTCTAGCTTTTATTCTCCTTGTTTCCAACATGGTTCAGCCAACCTTGACTAGTCTATTTCTTAAATTTATTTTTTCCTACTTCCTCTTATGTTTTTTTCTTCCACTTGAAAAATTTACTCAAAAGCATGTCCTTACAAATATCTCTCCTTATAAATATCCTACCCTTTCTAAACCCTCGGCAAGCACTGCTATCTTTCCATTTTACCACAAATGCTATTCAGTTTCACTTGGGGATTTAAGAAATTACTCGTTTATTAGTCAGACTACTCCCTTCCTCCAGCATACTTCCTCTGAAACACTTTGAAGCTTTCTTGTGGACATGAGCTATAGTTACATATGTAGATATTATCTTTTCCAAATATACATTCCTTGAGGGCAGGGGACTATATTTATTAGGTCATCTTATTTATTTTTTGATCCCCACATAGTCAAGCCTCAGGATGACTGCAGAGGATTGTGCAGGAAGTGCCCATACAGGGGTACACTCCTGGAGGGTGAGCTCAAATGGGGACTGAAGTCCTGGAAGGAATGTTTTTTTCTGTTTTGCACATGTGCAGAAGCCCTGTCTGCCCGTTTATATCATTGGCACATGTGTAATAAATTAATGCAAGACTTTGTATGCCAGTATCGCTGGTTGCCTTTGTCCTTACTGTAGTCTGCAAGTGGGTTTTTTATGTACTCTTACCGATTTAGTCTGTGCCATTTCCTTTCTGCCACCAATTTCTAAAAGGTTTCTCCTGTTACACGTCCACCTAACCATCCCCATACATCAGATTTTTGCTGCTTTCCATAAGCACTAGTCATCTAGTGTTTGCTTGTGGTATAATTGTGGTCATATGACTGTGTTTTTTCTAAGTCATTGCTCAGACTGCTGCTCCCTCGAATCCAAGTAATTAAAACCTTAAACTATCAATTTCTCTTTATTTTTTATGGCTATGTCACCTTCATTTTTTAAGCCTTTGAATTTTTCATCGCTATTTTTTTGCTTAACTTTATCATTTTCTAAGATCTGAGATTCAAGTTATATTTGTTTTTATATTTTAGGTCGTTCTTCCCTCTTTCCAATAGATGATGGCTTGCTGGATGATGGTCATAATGATCAAGTTGGTGTTTTAAACTCACCCACATGTTACTCAGCTCATCAAAACGGAGAGCGAATTGAACGCTTCTCTCGAAAAGTTTTTGTTGGTGGTCTTCCTCCAGATATTGATGAAGGTAAGGCAATGATTGGGGCTTTAAAAAAATCCTGAAATATAGGAACGGGGGTATGGGAATTTTTTACCACTAGAGCTTTTCAGTTATAATAGATGTCCATCTCTGTTTAAATATTTTGTCGCCTGTTGAAATGTGGAGGTAATTGAACAAATAACTTTTTTTGAAGTTTTTTTCTTTACATTATTTCTTATAATGCATATTGTTACTGTGAGCATTTTTTATAAATAAGATTTTCATACCCTATGTCATATTGCACTTATATTTTTAAATATAGAACATACTCGAATATATATTTACATGAAACTTAAAATTTTTGTATGAGTACAATATGCTCACACACACACACATACAATGAAATAAAAGTAACCAACCATGAAACTCTGCCTCCAGTGCTTGGTAGTCAGAAGTTTAATGTCTTTAAGAATAACTGCTCTTAGAAATCGGTAAGAAAGAGGCTATAACACTATCTAATGTTTGCGGGGTTGTGGGAATCTGCTACTTTTGTTCACAACTAGTAGAGAAGATGTTGGTACATTTTGGGAAATATTTTAAGTTGCAGTTCAGATATCGACAAACATATTCTATGCATTAATCAGTATAATAGGGTTTCCATGTGATGGAACATATCACATATCATGAGATGTGAAACTACCTAGCATGCATGTGTCAAACCCTAGTATATTTTAGGAGTATTATAAATTTTCACATCTTATTTCAGTACACCTTTTTTTCCCTATAAGATTTTACTTATCAAGCAGCAATGAATCTCTTAATTTAATTTAATATAATGTTGGCATGTTTTTCAGGCCTGTGATATTTATAATTTGGTGAACCATAAATCCGTAGTATCCACATAACGTTTTATAAAATCTCAAAGGTCACACTGAATTAATTACTCTGGCCAATGTGCTACTTAAAAATGAATTTATTTTGATTAAAATAGCTATTAAGTTTTGTGAATTATTTTAGTAGGGATACTGAACATTTTTTAAGTGTTTACATTCTAGTTTATCTTAGGATATTTGGTCCTTTTAAACATTAAATCTTTAAAGTAACTTATAAAATATGGGATTTTTTAGAATGAATCATTAAAACTAATTTCTAATGCATATTATTGTACTTTCTTAAGATGAAATAACTGCTAGCTTCAGAAGATTTGGGCCTTTGGTAGTAGATTGGCCTCATAAAGCAGAAAGCAAGTCCTATTTTCCACCAAAAGGTAATGATTTTTATTGTTAATATTTGCTAGGGAATCAGTTTTATGAGAGCAAAAGAGACAATATCAGTTACTTTGTGTTTTCTTTTAAAATTGGATATGACTACATCTTTCTATAAAGACAAGTAGAGTAATTTTCAGAAGCTGGTCACATGTATCGAGTGAGGGAGCCAGTCAGGAATCAAGAGACTTGCTGTGCTTTCTCTATAATGATTTGATGATGATTTCCAAGACTCAAATGTTTCAGGATTTTTTTTTTTTTTTTTTTTTTGTCTAAAGCATCATTCTAAATAACTTGAGTACAGACCTATAAAAAACTTTCAGTGAAATCAAGACTGTATGAAGTGAGGCTAAAATATAAACCTATGAATGAATAGTTTAAATATTGCAGGATTTACTTAAGTGGTCCAAATAATAGCAGATCACAACAGAGCATAATATACTCTGCTGGTGAATTTTGATAGAGGAGAAAGTGCCTGGTCGACAAACCCCCAATTATATGGAGATATAAGATATTAAGAAGATACACAGATGTGCTAGTCACTTATGGCTAGGATACTGCTGTGGCTGGTCACCAAAGTACAAGAATCATGAATCATGCTAACTTTCATTTCAACAAAGCAAGAGAGGAAGGAGCCTGGCATGGTGAGCAGGGAAGGCGAGGGGGAAGAGTTGAATATTTTTTTTAGTCAGTCAGATTTCTAATGGCGGATTCTCTGAAGGGAATAAAGGGGGAGATTGAAAGACTAAGACTTTTCTTTGAGTATGATTGAAATATAATTTTAGAAAAGAAAAAAACACACTATTATTCTTAAGGCTGAGTGAATTTTCAAGCCTGGAAAAGACTCCAAAAGATTTATTAAATGGTTTGATTTTGGCTCTGGGAAAGGAAACATGCTAGAGTTATTGGCACACAAAAACTAGCTAAGAGTTTCTGGCAATGAATTATATGGGCCATTTCCACTTATTGTCATTGAGAATTATATAACCTACATTGCTAGTTCATACGATTTTTTAGAGAAATGTAATAATGCAATAATATTTTATACCTTAAGATCTTATACTTATGGAATTAAGAATATCTTTTGAGCATGGATTTTGGATCCCAGACCTCTATGAGAATCTGACAAAAACCATAGACTTCTCTTCATATACATTGAATTTTCACATGATTTAGGAGTTTAATAGAATTGGAGATCCCAAATCCTTGGGTTAGAGAGAAAATTAGCTCCATATGAATATAGATGTTTGTTCATTTAGTTTTAATCTGTTGTCCACAGTTTTACTATCTTGTCCTTTTATAAAGTTTATTTTATTGAGTGTGCAATAAAAATGGATATTAGTTTCTAATGTTCCTGCATAAGTTTCCATCATTTCTTGCCTGGACTACTCCAGTCATGTGACTATTCTGTCCACATCTGTGGCTCTCTCCAGTTTTTCTCCCCTAGTACAGCTAGAGTAATCTCTCTAACCCATCTGATGGTGCTCCTCTGTGCTCCTCTGCTTAGCATTCTTCGTCGGTTTCTTTTATTGTTAGGGTAGAGGTAAAATGCATTCGCCCCACTGGCCTCCCATCTCTCTAGTTTCCTCTTTGCGCTATTGCTTTGTGTTCTCTGCTGGTTCTATGAACTGACCTTGCTCTCCTCTGCCTCAGAGCTATCATGTGGTGTTCTCTTGGCCTGAAGGCTCTTCCCGTGTCTCTGCATCTATATATATCCCTTACTTATCTCAGCTTAAATATCAGTGCTCACAGGAGACTTTCAGGACCTACCTAGTGTGGTCAAATCAAGATGTAGACTATCCTAGCACTGTACTCTTTGATAGCACTCATCATAGTTGCAATATTAAACTTCTACAACTTTAAAAATATACGATTATTTCATTAATATCAGATTCTTCCAATAGTCTTTAAGACCATCTTTACTTATCTTTGTATTCTCGGTTATCGTGGATTAATAATTGCCTGATGCATGATATAAATAACTATAAATAGTATAGGATAGAGAAATTACTTTGACCTAAAGTGGTTAAGGGAAAGCTGCACTGGGTGGTTTTGAACTAAATCTAAAAGATATTGTTAAATTTAGACAGATAAAAAGTCATTGAACAGAGTTCCAGGCAGGAATTGAAATATAACTTTAAAAAGGAATTAGAATTGGTTAGTGTGGAGACAGATACACATTTTTTACATGAGCTTCTTGTTCATTTAAGGGGTTGGTGGACTATAATAAGCATAGGAAGTTGGGTTGGCACAAATTTAGTAAAACAGAATGCTTGTTGGCTTTGTGGCTATTGTTGCCATTGTGGTTTTCATGGTGGTTGTTAGCTTATTTTCTCAAACCGAAAAAATAAAAAACAAAAAAACAAAAATATTAACATGGCAAGTCATAGGTTTTTAGCTAATTGTAGCCATTGCCCAAGACCAGTGTTCCCAAATCATGTTCTTTCGAGCATTTTCGTCATTGCTGTAATTCATCATTTTTCATGGTTTGGAAAACACTGGTTTAGAGGCATCCAGTTGGTGAAGCTACGTTGTAATTTAGGCAGTGATTTAGCCTTCAGATTTTGAGCCACACATATGTATGTTTCCTTTGCAATGAATGAATTTCACCCTATGAGAGTATTGGCTTGCTCTAATAAATTCTAAAGAACTATTAGATGGTTTATTTTTGGTAAGAGTGTTTTAATATTTAATAGCTTGCCTTAGCTATATTATAATATACCTGCCACATTTCTTAGTCTTCGTGATACAAATATTTCTTTGCTAATAATCACAAAAATAATTAAGCAATATTAAAAATACTGAATTCAAAGTATTTTAAAGTTAAATAATATTAAAATAATTATATAAAAATTAAACATCACAAAACCTAAGCAACATTAAAAATATTAAATTTAAAATGCTATTTTAGTAAATTAGTCTTATATTTTCTCAATTATTACGAAACAATTATAGCTCTCAAATGCTTAGCTTTGTGTCAAAATTAAAGCCTTCATTTAAAACCAGTCTTCTCTTTTAGAAAAATTTTTCAAGCATATTTAAATTGTTTCTAGCAATTAAAAAGGCTCTAAAATGTGTTTCTTAATCTTACATAATTATTCCTTTGGAAGTCTCTATTTGTGTAAATTGGTTTAATGTCTTATTTATGCAATCAAGTAATGTATTTTATTAAAATGGAGTACTTTTGTGTCACATCCAACCTTTGTGGCAATAAAAACCATGATTGGCAATAAGCCATGTTTTTTGAGTTTTACATTAAGCGTGATCTCACACTTCCCATTGTTAAAGGGGACAGATGTGCATGGGCTGCTTGACGGCTTCTTCGTATGAGGACTAGATTATCGTGCTCCATATTTGTTTGCACAGAAATCTTTTCAAGGAAAGGGGTGTTTTTAGGTCATTTATAGTTACCAGCTGCTGGAAATAATCATCACATAATAGTAAACTTGGAATGTGAATTGTGATGCCTTCTTTTTATAATGAAGTCTGTTCTGCCGGCTGGGTGCATGATTGATTAAAGACTGACGATTGGTTGTCATAAGGAAAGGAGGAAGGGCTCATTTCCCAATGGTACAGGAATTTAAGCAAGAGCCTAGATCTACAAGACCAAATAGTCGCCAGACTGGAAAAATTGTTCACCCAAGTTGAGACTTGATTTAAAAGTTCTGGCCCATTCCAAAGGCACCCATTTCATTCTGAGCTCCCTAGGATAGTTTTCTTAGTATCATTTGGAAGTTGCCAGGTTGACTGTGGAATTTTCCCTCTACTTAATGGAAATTTCTGGGCCTTTCCAGGTATGCTGTAGCCCAAAAGTGAGCTCTACCTCTTCTTACCCTGAGGGCATTTATAGGAAGCTTCAGCTCCCAAAGTGATCAGCTGATTAACCCTTCGAAATTTTTTAAGAAGGCACTGTCACTGCTACAAATAGTGTGGGAGACCGGGGCCGACCTGCGTTTAAAATTACTTGGCCAATTATTTGCTTATGTAACTGACTTCAAGCAAATAATTAACCACTTGGTACCTCAGTTTTTATAAAATGGGAATAATGTTTCATAGACTTGTGAGAATCAAATAAAATAGTTAACGTGAAGCTTTTAGCACAGTACTGGATAGTAAATGCTGTGTATAAACTAGCTCGTTAATTTACTGAGTATATGTTTTTGTGTGTATCTCATAGGATATTCTGTTCTCCTGTAGGAAGTGTTAATGATTCTAGTCCTATCTGATAGTTTTGTTTTTTTCTTTTTCAAAAGCTTATATTTTCTAAACAGTAATGGAATTTCGAGTAGAATCACTTACCTTGACACTTGATGTATTGCCTCATTTTTCATGGTTATTACAGGCTATGCATTCCTTCTCTTTCAAGAAGAGAGCTCAGTTCAGGCACTAATTGATGCTTGTATTGAAGAAGATGGAAAACTCTATCTGTGTGTTTCCAGCCCTACCATCAAAGACAAACCAGTAAGTAATACTACCGACTCTAAGCTACAACTGCAAGTTTTCCAAAACTGTTATGAAATTATTGTTACTGGGGGAAAAAAATTAAACCACCATGTTAAAAATTCAGTTTTTTAAAATTTTGGATAATTTATAGTCTCTAGATAAATAATAAGAATAATTTGTTTCCAAATCCAACTATTCAGAATTTTAAATAATGAGAGGACCACTGCTCGCTGGCACAAAACAGCAGAAGCTGTATAGGGAATAAGACCCAATAAAGTAATGTTCTTGTTTTCATAGGTTCAGATCCGTCCTTGGAATTTAAGTGATAGTGATTTCGTGATGGATGGTTCTCAGCCTCTGGATCCTCGAAAAACAATTTTTGTTGGAGGTGTTCCTAGGCCATTAAGGGCTGGTAAGTAGAATGGTAACAAATTGTGCTTAAAAAAATTTAAGTATGAATTAATTCAGGAAACATTGGTAGCTGTTGTGTACGTGGCAGTACTGGGCAGGCACGGGACAGGCCCTCATGCTCTGCTCCAGGAGTTGCTAACTGCAGGATTCTGAGACGAATTCTAAAGACCGTTCTTGAAGCCGTCAGGTAACTGGAGAATTGGACACTCATCTATTGATATTAATAGCTCACTCCAAACAGACTGTATAAGAAGAATCTAGTCGAATACTTCTGACTTCTTAAGTGTTACTCTCTGAGATATGAGAATTTTTTGGTCTATTTATTTTATGTGCGTTGATTCTGGTATTTGAAGGAGAAATATGGGATTTTTTTCTTTTAATAGCACTTTAGATAAGTGAGTGATAAACTTCTGTTCATCAGTAACCAGGAACCAGAGATATACTGGAAGATGTCGTAGAGGAACATAATTATAGATGTAAATACCCTCTATACAGGCAAGTTTTATGATACTCTATACCCTGTGAAGCGTATCGGTGCCTTCCATCACTGAGAACATCCTCTCCAGTATGGGAGATGCAGGTTCACACTATTCACATAAGTAAATACTTACAGAACATAACTGCTACAAAGAAAGACTGTAGGGAGTGGAAGAGCATCTGACAAGGGAATGCACTATAGTCTGACATTTGGAAGATACTCGTATTCGAGCCGACATAAAGATTGAACAGAAGGAGTAGTTTTGGGGTGGTAGGAAGGGTTGCGAGGGTTTTCAAATAAAGGGAAAAGCATGTTCAAAAGTCTTCAGTGGGAGGAAGCAGAATGTGTTTGAGGGACAGTAAGAAGACCAGAGCGGCCGACTAGGAGTATAGGGAGTGAGGGGAGAGACACAGGAAGACACTGAAAAAATAAACAGGAGTCAGGTCATACAGGTCTAGTAGGCTGATTTGGTATCTATCCTCAGAGCAAGGGGAAACCGATGAAGAGTTTTTGATCGAAGGACAGACATGATTACATTAGTATTTTTGAAAGATCAGTCTAGCTCATGACTCCTGGAGGGGAGAGCTAGTTTGAGCGTGGATATTCGTAGACCAATTTAGTTGCTTAATCTTCCAGTCCAGGAGACAGATAACTTGGGTTAGTGGCAGTGGTGTTCTGAGAAAGCCACGTGCAGGCCTCCCAAAGAGTCATTTCAGCTGAGTCACTGGTATCTGATGCAGGTGTCTCGCTGCCTTTCCAAAGTTTTCTTTGCGCTACTTCTCTTTTACAAAACACTTACATTAGTACCTGTTTTAGTTAACTGAAAGAAACCCAAAGAGGATTTTTGCTCTTAAATTTTGCTAACCTTTACGAAAGGTTTCATAGGAACCCTCTACTTTCAGATAGCGGGAGAAACCTATGTGTGTGTAATTTTTTTTTTTTTTTTAAGAGACTCACACTTGCTTCTTTGCAAATAGATTTGGGTGGGGATGAGAGATGGGAATCAGAAGCAAAGAAATAAGGCTATTGCCATGATGCAGATGAAAAGTAATGATAGTTTGGAACAGGATGTTAGTGATGGAGATGAGGTGATTTGATTCTAGATATGTCTTGAAAATCAGGTTCAAAGGATTGAATGTGCAGTGGGGGAAGAGAAAATAGGGAGGATGAAGCCAGGGGCCCCCACTTGGCAACTTCATCCTTTCCGTTGCTTATTAACTGAATCAGCAAAAATTCACCGGGCAGGTGTAATGGGATGCTGGAAGATCAGGAAGGCCTCCCTGAACACACTGCGTGTTAACATGTCTGGGAAATAGCGATGAGTCCAGTAGGCAGTTGCATAGATGAGTCTATCTTGATTCGGGGAGTGAGGAGGGAAGCCCAGACTCAAGAAATTTAGGAGCTGAAAACAGATGGTATTTAAAGCTATGACACAGCATGATGTCACCAAAGCCACAAGTGTAGAGAGAAGCCCAAGGACTGGAACCTAAGGTACTCGGACATTGAAAAGTCAAGGAGTTGAGGAGGACTAGCAAGGAAGACTAGGAAGGAATTACAGTCAGGCAGAAGGAGAATCCTGCAGTAATGTATCCTGGAAGCCAGGTGGATAAAAGATTTCAAGGAGGAGGAGGAGATTAACTATGTTCAGTACGGCTTACAGGTAGATCGGCCATTATACTTGGCAGTTGGGAGGGTCACCTTGACCTGAGCAATTGAAGTGGAGTTATGGGGTAAAAGTCTGGTTATGAAGGGTTGAACAAAGTATGGGAAGAGAGGGATTGAGGAATATAGGATAAATTTTTGTTATTGGTTTTGCTATAAACAGAACAGAAATGAAGCAGTCACTGAGAGAAACAGTTAAGAGATTTTTTTTTTTTTAAAGATGGGACAAATTATAGCATACTTGGAAAGGATCCAGGATAGAGAGAAAAAGTGATGGTACAGAAAGTTAGGAGACTTGCCAATCTGATTCTTCTGTAGTGAGAGCAAGTGAGATCTAGCGTACAGGTGAGAGGGTAGGATTTAGAAAAGAGCATGAAACTCTTTATCTTATTGACTTAATTTTTTTTAAAGTTGTTCTGTGTTCTCTCATGTTTGATGTGAACTTCTCTTCCTTTTGAAGTGGAACTTGCTATGATCATGGACCGGCTGTATGGTGGGGTTTGTTACGCAGGAATTGATACAGATCCTGAGCTAAAATACCCAAAAGGTGCTGGTCGAGTTGCTTTCTCCAATCAACAGAGCTACATTGCTGCCATTAGTGCTCGATTCGTCCAGCTCCAGCATGGTGATATTGATAAACGTGTAAGTGGCAATTGGGAAATCACTTATCTCCTGTAGTAAGTTCTGATCAAAGCTCACTACCCTATGAATTATTAAATAATTCAAACACCGAATAACTCTTAAAGATATATGTTATATCAAAATACCTCTGAAATATAAAATTCTTGAATATGCTTTAAACTTTAGGTATAATATTGAAAATATAAATGTCATTTTAAGGCATGTCAGAAATTTTATCCGCCAATAAGGCTTAATATCCTTTTATAACCATGGGGGCAGAGCTTGTTTGGAGAGTCTGGACACTCTGGAGCCAGACTGCCTGGGGTCCCCTTTCCACCATTCGCTCAGTCTGGGCAAATTAACTCCCTTTGTGCCTCTTTTTTCTCATTTATAAAATGGAAAACAATAATAAATATCTCCCTTACAGTTATTCCGAGGATTAAATAAATTCACATATGCAGAAGCACTTAGAACAGAGCTTGCTACTAAGTGCATTTACATTTTATTTACTTTTTATTTGTTGTAAAATCTAAAATAAAAATATATTGTGTATATTTCCCTGAATATACACAATAAGTATATAAAATAATTGTCCTAAACTTTAAAACACTCTTTAATAGCATTGCTTAGGTCATCACAATGAGAACTTTTAGGAAGTCCTGTGAATGCTAACTGAAAGCCACCCCACTGAATAATTTTTAGTACTGATTATGATATAAAATAGAGGAAAGGAATGAACAGAACTCAGTTATTTTACAAATTACTTTATCCTAAAATCTGTGATTCGTTCTATACAAACTTAAGCAGTATGCTAAAATAATCATGTCTACATTTATAGTACAGATGAGATGTACTAACAATACAAGGTAAATTAACTTTTTTATATCCAAATTAGTAGATATAGCTTAAGTGGCTTCTTATTTCTCTAGTGTAACAGTGTCTTGAAGCTTCTTCTCTGAGGCCGTATGTACAATAAAAGACTATTTTGGGGTCAGGGGAGCTGGTTAACTAATGCTGTTTGACCAGACCATGGACTCTATAAGTGTCACCAATTTCATTGTCAAATCATCCCATTTTGAAAAGTACAGCATAGGTTCAGTTCATACATGCAGAGTGGCTTTTTTGTTTACATTGTTACTTAGAATATTGAGAAAAAAAGTAAGAGAAGGGGCTGTAGTTTTACTCAGACATGCACATGAAATTTTTTGAAATGGTTTGAACCTTAGAGTTTCTCTAATCCAGTGGCTTTCAGTTGTGGCTGCACATTAAATTCACCTGGAAACTTCAGACAACCTTGACCAGTGAGTCCCACCCAGATTCTGCTGTGATTGGTCTGGGATGCGACCAAGGGCCCTGGGTGATTCTAATCGGCCATGGCTATGCTGTAACCCACTAATCTAGTGTAAGCCCTGTTTTTGCAGAGAAGTGATACAGTCATAAGGAAATTATTTACGTTGTATATAACTGTAGTTGTTAATATGCTGAAGCAGAGGGAAAAGATTGTTTCAGTGTCGTACCTCATACCACTTTGTTTCCAAAATAATAGTGAAGGACCAATTATTTGGGGCAGACTATTCTTAAAGAGCAACTTCAATGCAGAGCAAGTAAATTGAGAAACGCATGCCTTCTTAAAAAGGCATTGAAATATCTGAGAAAAGTTTATTTTTTAAGATGCGTGCTACTAAGATATGGAAAATAAGAATAGGTGAAGAATTAATGAAACTTTTTACACATACAAGGGTTAATTGTTAGTGATTATAATTAATTAGAAATAGATTTTGATTATACTCTAAAATCACAGATCAGCATCAATGTGCTATCTGTTTTCTTTCTTTGATGTCTATGATTTTGAGTCAAGTAGATTAGCTTCATAAAATATCTAGAATTTAAAAAATGCAAATAATTGAAATCCTTGCATTTGTGAAATTTTATTCAGTAGTTTTACAGGAAGTGACTCCTGAGTACCTACCTGCACCTAGCATTTTACGAGTTATTATGAAGTAAACAGCACAGAAACCATCTTCAGGTTGCTTAAAACCCATGGCAAGAAATAACTGTGAGAAAGAAACCCAGAAAGCATATGTAAATGTACTACACTTCAGGTCTTCACAGTGGGATTTTGACTTAATGGTTTACAAATTCACAGAAATCTAGACATATCCTCAGGAACATTATCTGCACTTCTGGTGCTGTACCAGAGATTGACAAGCAGCTTATGACCGTCACCTGCAGTAGAGAAGAGCTTCCATAATCAGTGGCTATTAGGGTTATGCCCCATCTTACAGGTGGTATTGGAATGAGGAAAAAGGATGTAAAAACCATTTGTCTCCATGACTACTTGATACCCTTTTATTTTTTACTCGGTTACTCCTACCAATGAAAATATTAACATACGATGCTTTTCAGATTGTTACTTTAAGAAAAGCAAAGATGGGATGTTTTACAAATCAATTAGATTTTTACAGTTTTTAAAAGTTAAATTTTAAAAGTATTATATTGGAAAATATAATATATACCATTAAGTTTATAGTCCTCTGAAGAGCACAATACCAAAACTACCAAAACTACAATAGTTACCACACTAAGTGCTCATTTAATCACATGATCAATTATAGACATGAAACATGAAAAGATCATTAGTGCGAGAGCAAAACGATTTTATTTTTTTAACCCACTGTGGTAAAGCGGTTGCCCTGAGAAACTGCCTGCTTTCCCGACGTTTAGTGCTGCTCCTGTTCTCTAGAACACTCTGTGATCTCTGAAGCCAACTGAATGAGACACTTTCTCTCTCTTTTCCAGGTGGAGGTGAAGCCATATGTGCTAGATGACCAGATGTGTGATGAGTGCCAGGGCGCGCGCTGTGGTGGAAAATTTGCCCCCTTTTTTTGTGCCAACGTCACTTGCCTGCAGTATTACTGTGAGTTCTGTTGGGCAAACATCCACTCGCGTGCAGGACGTGAGTTCCACAAGCCATTGGTAAAGGAAGGTGCCGATCGCCCACGTCAGATCCACTTCCGCTGGAACTAGGAATAGCGAAGCGGCCTCCGGTGAACACGGAAAGGAAGGGTGCATGTGGCTTACTGTGTCTGAGGACACTGACGTGCAGAAGAGATGAGTGCTTTCTTCTGCTTTCACCCCGGCTATCAACACATGCATCTCTATCAGCAGCCAAAACACTACAAGCCTCTTGTTTTTCACCAAAACCCTACATCTCAGGCTTACTAATTTTTGTGATATTTTCATGTTAAAATAAAATGTTTTTTTGTATTTTCTCCAAGTTATTTTTATATGTAAAGTTAAAATTAGATATGAGAATGTTTTGCGTAGGGGCAAACAGTCTGCTGCTATATAGTGGGTGAAGCGTGCACTTATTTCTAAACGTGGGTTTTTAACTTCAAGATCTGCCCCAGTAATTTACCAAAGGTAGCAAAATAATAGTGAAGATGGAATATGTCTGCTACAAATGCTTATTTTTATTGTTGCTATTTTCAGTGTATACATAAACTAAAATTAGGGTTGATTTTTTTTGCTCTCCATTTTGACTTGCAAGAAATAATACCTCAAGATAATCTGATTTATTAGCTATTTTTAAACATTTTTAATCACAAGCTGTATTAGCTTTGCTGCTATATAGGTGTTATGTGTAAATGCCACCTATTAATACGGGATTGAAAACGTTAGAGACACACTGCATTGCAGATGAAATGCAGGCAGCACAATATGGCCTAAACTGCCATAGTTTTAGAATGTGAAAAAAATGCATGTTTACTTACCTGTATACACCATATGCATGCACTAGAATTATTAACTAACAAGAGGTGAGGTATTGCAAATGTTCAAAAAAAGCTCTCTTGAATCTAGGTAGCATGAACAAATTATAAAATTTGTTTAAAAAAGCAAACTTGCATGCATTATTGTGACTTCAAGTTTAAAAACTGTCCTACATGTGTACAATATGCAAATTAGTTTTAGATTAGAGCGTGCAGCCATTTTGTGATCTGGTCAGTAGTGGAATTCGATTTTATGCAGACTGGATGTAATATTTGTAATCCCTGTGCAATTCTGTGATGTGCGGTTCTAACTCCTGTGATGTAGTATAGATAAAAGATTGAATAAAAGAAAAATCCTAGAATTTTAAAGAAAGTTGATTTTAGCCCCTTTGATAGTTCATGGTTAAGACATCCTTTATAAACCAAAGATGGCCAGCACACTGCTAACCAGTCACCAAATGTCAGACCTACAAGAAGCCCATATTTAAACAAACAAACTTTATAGAAGAATGCAAAACTTTAGTAAACCTAAGTAAAGTCAAAATGGAGATGGGGAAATATACAGATGGCTAGTTGCATAAAATTCAATTTTACCTTAAAGACAATGGTGAAATCTGGCTTGAACTTGCTTACGTGTTTGACTTACGTATATTGGGGTCTTCTGTCTTAACTGGGGTCACTGTTGCATGGAACATTGTTGTTCTTAACGGTTAAGAATTACTTTTTTTTAAAATTTTGATGAAGGAATTTTGGTAATGACTTTGCTTGCAGTTTTGGGGAAATGACATGGAAACATGCAATAGTTAATGAATTTCTCTTGGTACCGAACACTATTAGAATATCGTTAGTGATATTTTTTCTCTTTAGAGCATTTTTAATGCAACTAGTCCCTATATTTTAATGTAAGAGTTACTCTGCAATCTAAGCAAAGCACCCAACAATGGTAAATGTTTTTTTAAAAAATGCAGAACTAAGATTCTTGACTCTAAAGAGAGAAAATTACAAGGGTGTTGTCTCCGAGCAGCCCCTTGGGACAATCCTTCACGTGAGCAAAGTGTTGATCTTAACATTGGTTGTCTCTGGTGTGCTTTTTGTACTGTAAAAATATGTGGTTCATGTCTAACTCTGCTGTTTTATTGTGGTTGTGGTTCAAGTTTTTAATGTTTAAAGTTGATGCTGTTTTCAGAAGAGCTTTTTACTAATTTATTTGTCGATGTTCCCTATTTGTTACTTAACCATGATCCTCCAGATTTTTGGAGTATTCTTTTCTAACCTTAACCCTGCCAACCTTGATCCATTTGACATTTGTTATGCACTATTTTTATATCTCTATGAGAGATTTTTCCAACAGTCAGCTATTTTATGGCACACTTTTTTTGACTGATGACATCTCCTTTGCTATACCTCAATTTTTGGAATTTAGAAAAGAAATCAGTAGTTTTGCAATGTTAATTATTTAGATATTTAATTTCGCAGATTTTTAAACTTTATTTTCATAATTTCTGCTTAATGTTTAAAATTGAAGAACCTTTTCATGTATTAAATAATGAACTAATAAAACACCCTTTTAGCCACGGGTAAACATGACAGAAATGTATGGTTTGTTTTACCTTCATTTCTGTTAGAATTAAAGCTTGTTAGTCTAATATTTCGTTCCTTCCCCACCTGTCCCTACCTCTTTTTTTTTTTTTTTTTTTTTTTTTTTTTTTTTTTTTTTTATTCTTATTTTCTAACTGTTAAACACTGTATTGGAGTTTTTTTTTTTAATTTACAGATCATATTTATTTTACTATTTTTGTAGAAAATTATTAATTTTGATTGTATTTTTGTATTTTCAAAGCTTCTTCACTTGTGTTCTCTAAATGTTCTTATTGCTGCCCAAAAGTATGACTGTGGAGGAAAAAAAAAAATACTTTAAAAATCCACACTTTTTGTTAAGAAGGAAACATTTAGCATTTATATATTTGTGTATGGAAAACACTTGATATTTTATCCCTGTTGCATCTG